TTGCTGATGTTGATTATCAGGAATTGGGTTATATTTTTGTCATTCTCTATATTAAACATGTTGAAAACATATTTTCTGCTTACTGATGTTTGGTGTCATCAATCTGGCTTGAGAGCTATATATGTATATGTTAGAATTTTGTGGTATGTTTGTATATTTTTTTCATGCATGAAGTAATCATGTAGATTTCAAATGGTATCAAGCAAATCATTGTTCTTACTCTCGAAGCTGACAAATTGGGAGGATTCACATACATACCCTTTCAAAGCTTTTAGTGTTTACATATCTACCACCCTGAGCTTTAATTTCTTTACATCTGCATCCTTACACTCATGCATGAAAAGCTTTACATACAATTCAATTGAGTAATTCATTTTGCTTGGGGGTGTTTGCTGAATTCAGTTATATAGAGGGAAATTTTGTTGTTGTAAATATATAAGAATTGCTGGATGTAGAAATTAATTCCTCTTGAGCTGTGGAAATGGAATGAATATTTGGTTCCTTTGTGGTAATTGGAATGAATACTTATACAGTTCAAGTCCTCGTGAAGATGTGATAAATTTTTATTTTTGGCCTGAGAATTGCTGGTGTATTTTTATCCTTGGATGTCTGAGGCAAACGCAAGTAGATTCCTAGTGTGTTTTTATCGAGTTTTAATGTATGAATTAATGATATTTTGATATAAATTCCTGTTATTTGTTACTTTTCTGTTTTTTATTTACTTATGTTACTCAAAAGAGATGCCAATGATGACAAAATTAAGGCTTGTTTCTAAAAAGATGTCATGGCTACCTGATAGCTTTTACCTTGCCAGGCTTAAGAGCTAGTGCTGCCTAGCAATATCAGGATTTGGTATTGTGGGCATCCTAATAGCTTTTGCATTACAAGGCTCAAGTACTTGTGATGCCTAACAATTCCCTGATCTCTGCACCCACCGTCCCAATTTATTCTCTTATAGGCTCCTGCTCTTTTTTGTTTTAGTTAATGTAATCTTTACTTCTATCTTTTTTTTGAAATATCTGAAATAAAATCATATTTATAATGTAATATTTGTCTGTTGTTGACTATTCCATTTTACACTTATAATATTTGTCTATTGTATACTCTTCTGCTGCAATCAGGAAAACATGAGCTCACGGATTTCTGGGACATCCCGACGCATTCTCTGGCACTGTGGCCTCCAAAATTCTCAGCTAACGTCACGTCAATCACACAACTACTAGAGAAAGTTCTACAGCTGCTCACAGAGCATTACCGAGCAGTGTCATTTCTCCCATTAGGCAGACAATTCGGCGGATTCACCTAACGGCGTTGATCGCGAATGGAGAACATCACTTGAGGAAAGTTTGACACTGGAGCTACACCGTGTAAATTGTTAAGAACAATGTAATCATCTTGTTGATTATAATTGTAATTATTTTAGATTTTTTTTTTCTCTTATGATACTCACTGTGACGTGAGATGAGTATCTGTACTTAGCTACTATTTTGAATAGAAGTTTTACGTTGAAATGAGTTATTACATATAATTTATATTTATGTACGATTCGGTACATTTATGAAATGTCTTGGTGCGGCCTGTAGTTATTACAAACTTGGAGTTATGTACATATTTTTTAATTACTATTATCATAGTACATGAATTATAAATCATCAAATAATAAGATATCCATTTTGTAGACTAAAAAATAATTTTAGAACATTTCTTCAATTTGTATTTATTACAACACTATTTATAATTTTATTCTTTTATAATATTTTATGGATAATATATTTATTACAATATTGCTATCGAAATATTTCCTTCCTTAAACCGGCTATGTATTTCATATATTAACCTATCTAATACATAAAATTATTCCATATAATAATCGATTCCGTATATATACATATCTAACACTTCAATTTTATTCTTTAACAATAATTAATTTCACATATTTACATATCTAACACTTAAATTAACTTCATTACATTTATGCGACGCAGTTCATTCGTAAAACCTCCAAAATAATATGCAAATATTGGTAAAACTTCAAAGTTTATGTGTTAGATATGTAAATATATAAGATTGTGTTGCATATTTATTCTTATTCCTAAACAGAAGTTGTTAACACTTTGAGGGCTTACTAATGTTCCAAAAATATGATTCTTATACTATTCTTTTAAACAGTTTTATCAAAAAAGGGCAGTATGGTCTTTTTCCATAAACAGCTGTCCGACAGCTGGTTTCAAACAGCTGCAACAAACAGACAGTCAGCTTCCCCACCCACAGTTTCTTCCTGGGGCAGCATAGTTGCAGCTGCCCCAAACAGAGCCTAAATTAAACTAAACAAGCCACTTGTTATGTACGGCTCATATACCATATAAGGCACGGATTCTAGAGCGGAGCGGGGTGGAGCAGAAGAATTTGTCCAATTTGAAGAGTTTTTTGTTATGTGAGTTGGGGGTGCTGGGGCAATGCCCCGCGATACGGTTC